GGGGGGGGGGGAATCATTAAAATGAAACTTCCTCCAATGGTAAATAAACCAAATGGTTGTTTGGTATCGATGGCGTTTATAAGATAAACGTTTTGTATGATTTTGTCTTGAAAAACAAGATAAAATCTGCTATAAACGTTTTGTACGATTTTTTTACACCTCAGCGCCATTAGAGGTGGATTCGAGCCAAGCCGAGCTGAATAGTACGAGGCTTGAGCTCAGCTCAAGACTATTCTACAAGGCTCAAGCTCGAGCTCGAGCTCGGTTCGAGCTAGAACCTTGAGCTCAAGTTCGGCTCGAGTCAAAAATTCATAAGCTTGAGCTCGTCTCGGCTCGAGATCAATTTTGAGACAAAATGTTTTATAAAAAAAATTATATATAAAAATATTTTTTATTTGATATTTAAAAAATTAAGAATTATAAAAGCCAAAAGCTCGGGATGGATGCATTTGAAGACTCCATGTACAGGTATCATATTTTTTATGATAAAACATACAAGTATCCAACATGATAGAGCACCCATGTACAGGTATCAGGGTATCAGGATGGATGCATTTGAAGACTCCAAATGAAAAGTATATATATGCCTTTGTTTCAGCAATTATATAAGTCTGAGAGATTTCGATGAAGCAAGCTTAACAAAATGAGAACAGTTTGTCTGAGAGATTCCTTTTCTTTCTTTATTTAAAGAAAATATAAAAGCAACACCAAATAATTGGAGAATCAGGTAACAGTATTCAGGTGAAAATTGGGAAAAAGCAGAACTCCCATAAAAAGCAAACAAGAAAATCAAGTACAGCTTATCACACCAAAGAATCAAGTTCTATGTTGAAATCCTTAAATCAAGCAGATCATCCAAACTCATTAAGTTTTGTGGGATTGAAAAAGGATAACCAATAAACAAAAAAAAATGCAGCTAATAACAAGAAGATCATTAGATATATACCAAAATAATCATGGAATGGAAGAATGCCAAAAATTGGTCTTGACTTCAGCTCTCAATTCATTACTAAAACCAGAATATGGAATAGACTCCGAATCACATTTTCAACTCTCTACTGCTTTGATTGAATGATGCAAACCTGTGTCAAATTTTCTTTTCTTCATTGCTATTGTTATTTTTTGTTTATTGTTATTATTATTGCTAAATTCATAAACTACCAGAGGCAACAGAAAGAAATACAAAAGATTTAAAGAAAGAAAAATACAAAAAAAAAAGAAAAAGAAAAAAGACAAACTTAAGTTCCCAGCAACCCAAAAGACCATAGAGAAAAACATCCAACAAACAACCAGGGAGACAGGAATTCAGAAAAAAAAAAAAAAAAACATACACAATTAACGACCAACAACAACATCATCTACAAAAGTAGCTTCCCCATACAAAGCCCCAAAAACACAACCAAAACCACATCCCCACCTCCCAAATGAGACCGGATTTGATCCTCACAAAGTGCACCTCACACAGACCTCACAGCCTCATCCCACCGTGTATCCGTCCTTTGTGTTGTTATTGATGGGGAGATGTTTCCAATACACAGTAGGATGGGGCTGTGAGGTCCATGTGAGGTGTGCGCTCTGTGAGGAGCAGATCCCAATTCCTCCCAAACTCCTAAACACTTATTTCTTAACAGCTATACCTCATAAGCACGTCCCCCCAAACACCCTCTTTTCATCAGATTTTTTTTTTTGAAAGTTTCTAACATGTTACCGTAACCCACCCATGTCACACTTGATCAACAAAATTCTCCCAACCAGGCCTACACTAACAGGATATTATGCTGGTATTGGCATCCTTAGACACCACTTCCACCAACTCCTCCCTCTATAATAGAAAGACCATCCCTAAACTTGTCCCTGAACTCTAACAGTTGGAACAGATAGCAAGTCTGCCTATGAGGAAAATGGGGTAGCAACCACAATGATGCATAATGAATGTGTGGTGTGGCATATGGTTCAGAGACCTAGAAGATGGATAACATGAGAATCTAGAAGTTCCAGGTACTAAATAATTTTGTATATATAAATTACAGGCATCTGAAGACCAAATTGTGCTTGACAAGGAAATGGCAGGCAGATTAGGTTGGTGTGTTTTCACATGTATACAGGTTCTAGGGACTATTATCGTCATGTCACAGGTAGCATGGCAAGTATTTGTAATCTTCATTCCAGTGACTGCAATCTGCATATGGTACCAAGTAAGACACTTCAACTGTGACAGTTTTACCCCTATAGTTTTATTTAGAAGAGAATCTTTACGATTTAGGTTTTTGGGTCAACAACAATACACAATATGAATCTAATAATATGTGATCACTGCAGCAATACTATACATCAACTGCAAAAGAATTGGCCCGGTTAACTGGGATTCAAACAGCTCCAATTCTCCACCATTTTGTGGATCTGCAACAATCCGTGCCTTCAACCAAGAAAACCGCTTTATTGAGACAAATCTCATCCTCATTGACAAGTACTCAAGGCCATGGTTTCATAACATGTCGGCAACGGAGTGGATTTCTTTTAGATTGCACATACTGTCCAATTTTGTGTTTGCATTCTCAGTGGTTTTGCTCGTGAGCCTCCCTCATGGAATTATTAACCCAAGTGAGAATCATGAGCATGCATTTTCACAAGATGCTTATCAGCAGGTAGACCGTAAAGATGGTCCACAAATGGCACACCAGTGAACATCGAAAATATGTAGGGCTTTCACATTTCATCCATCAATTGTCCCCCCCCCAAAAAAAAAAAAAAAAAAAACCCTGCATAAAGAATAAACAATTAGATTTGTGTAATCAAATAATATAAAGATATTGTCACAGTATATTTCCTAGGTTGGATCCAACATATGGTTGGTGCTAGACACTCACTCACTTGCAGGCAGGTTCAAAGTATCAATACAATACACCCCATATCAGGCATATTGTATTATATCTTTAGTTTTCTGATACACCTATTTAAAGGTGTTTTTAGGAAACCAGTGTTTTTATTGATTAAACAATACAAAAAAAAAACTGAGATTTTGAAAAAAAAAACTAAAATAAATAAAAAACCGTGGGGTAAAAAGTATCAATACACCCCTGCCGGTGTATTGGGGTGTATAGATATTTTAAACTTTTCTTGCAGGTGTGCCATTTGTATTAACAACCTACATCCTTATGGTCTCCCTAGCAAAGATATTTAATTTTCTATTCTGCATATAATTAAGAACAGTTCTTTCTACATGAGAAGATCTACAAGGAGTTTATTTGGAATTCTATATCTTTACAGGAATTGCAGGATTGGCAGTAACATATGGATTGAATCTTAACTCACAGCTAGCCAATATGGTGTCCACAATATGCAATGCAGGAAATAAAATGATCTCAGTAGAAAGAATTCTACAATATTCAAACATTGCTAGTGAAGCCCCATTGGTAGTTGAAGATCACAAGCCACCAAATAACTGGCCACATCTTGGAAAAATTTGCTTCATTAACTTGCAGGTAAGACCTCTAACATGTAATATTCTGTAATAACCAAACCAAACATAATTGGCTGAGCATTCATGAGGCATGTTATTGGACATATAATAAAAATCAAGGAAGATATAACAGACACCTGTGTTTTTTATCTTAATTATGTGAACGATATTGTAATAACCCAGATAAAATGCCCAAACACCAATATGAACGTCAATGCAGGAAATAGGGTTATGACTACTTGTCATCAAAATCAGGATACAACGATGGAATATGAGATCTTACAAATATGCTAACACCATGTGTTTCTACTATTAGTTTCCTTAAGCTAAATATCCTTTTTAGTGTTTGTATAAACCAAATCTAATGAAACTTCTAGCATTCACAGGTTTTTTATAGAATGAATTATCAAAACATAGCACCCACATATATATAAGGATTCATGTAGTAAATTACAGTTTGGAAGACTTATCAAAAAAAAAATTGCTATCAAATTTCATTTAAAGTGGGGCACAGAAAAAAAGGTGATTAATAAAGATATGATGCTAGGATGAATTTCAACATAAAAATAAAGGGACCATCACATACCATACAAGCTCACAGCAATATAACCACCTAAGGCAAAGATAAATCAGTTGTTGATCAAAACCACAAATCTGTCTGTTTAATGAAAGAAATTAAGAGAAACTGGCCTAGAACAGTAGGAAGGAAGAAGAGAGAAGAAAGAAGAAAGAAGAAGAAGAAGAAGAAGAAGAAGAGAAGGGTTTAGAGGAAAGACTCATAGCTGTCTCCCAGCCCCCTAATTGAATTTTATTAGATCTAATCACAATTAAAGAGAGAATTACAAGAATACCCCTAATGCGGCAGCTGCAAGAATAAATAATAAAAAGGGGCCTTAGGCCCATCACAACCAAATCCCATTGTTGACAGATGTTGTTGTACACAGGTTTAGTACCGCAGGGGTATTTCTGTAATTTTTTCCATACTTCATGTTGTACGACCAGTATAGTATAAATAACAACTGCTTCACTCGCCTGAAGCTTTTTTTTTGAGGCATTCAGTCCTCTCGCCTATCCTCTCTTCTCTTCTCTCTTCCTCTCTTCCTCCTCTCTTCTCTTGCTCAACACCCATAAAGAAAAAAAAAAAAAAAAAGGAGCTATTCTCAGCCCAACATCTCAACAAAATCTCTATATATATTTTCCTGACTAACCCTAGACAGAAAGGCCATCAGCTGTCCTGTTAATGTCCCTGGGAATCCATCTCAACACATGAGGGTGAGGGAGGGAGAGACTTCAAGTACCTTTCCCAAGGTTTCTACCCATCTGATATCTTTAAAGGAGTCTCCTTCAATCAAAAGTGAGAGAGAACTGTCTAGCTATTTTAGTCCACCATAGCCTTAGCCACATCTCACCTATGAGCCACTACAAGCCTAGGTTAAGTTGACTCCTATATCAGGTATACTATGAATACTCTCAGTCTTTGGGTTTCCAGAAGAGATTTGGTCAAGTCTAAATTGGACTTCTTCTGTTAATGATTCTTCAATTAAGATAGTTGCTCCTATGCTGGTTCTGGTGAAAAATGAAAGAACTCAAGGATCGCAGAAATTTTCTTTTTTTTCTTTGAAGGATAGAAGAAAAAATTATTAAAAAGAAAAAGGTTACAAAGCATTGGATGTCAAGGAGACAACCGAGATTGAATGACAACTAGACAATCTGAAAAGATTCTTCATTACAAGGCTGTAATTCCAGAATGCCCCAAAAGTTCTCTATCTGATCCTCCCTTCTAACTTGGTCAAACTCTGGCAGAACCAGCACCCAATCTGATACCAATTTACCCACAGAAGAAACTATTAACTCAATGTTTTTTTCATTTGTTTTCAAATACTCTTCTATTCCTTTCAGTCCACAGTGACCAGAAAACTGCAAAAGGAATACAGCTCTACATAATTCTGGCTTTCTTGCTGCCACTAATTTTCAGCCATCTAGAGAAAATCTCAGCAGGAGATGGAGGCTGGAAGATTGACTTGCCAAAAAGAAAATAGTAGAAATTTCAGGTGAAATTTGCCACTTTACATGAATAGAACAGGTGAAGCACTGGCTCTTCGTCAATTTTGCACAAATAGCAGAAACTTGGAAGGAAAAAATCTCTTCTCTTCAAGTGGTCCGTGGTCAGGACACTGTCAAGGGCAACCAGCCAAGCAAATGCCTCCACTCTTGGTGGCACTGGATTCACCCACACTCCTTTCATGCTAGCAGATACCTGATTATCTCTGACCAATGCCAAGTAAAAGGACTTCACAGAAAACCTGCCATCCTTACACTTTTTCCACCAGAGACCATCCTCCAAAGTAGGAGAGACATTGGACTGTTCTAGTTTGTTCAGCAACTGGATGCACTCATCCACTTCTTGCTCATGCAGGGGTCTTCTAAGCCTTGGACTCCATACTAGTTGCTCCCCCCTCAATTCATAGCACTGATCAATAGTGATCTGATGCTCAGACAGTCTATATAACCTTGGGCAGATTTCACAAAGTTTCCCCACTCCAGACCATTCGTCTTCCCAGAATATTATGCTTGAACCTTTACCCACTTTAAATTTGGTCAGAACCCTGAAGTCCTGGTTGAATCTCATAATATCCTTCCACACATTTACCCCGTAGCTCCTTGAAACTTCTCTAGGCTCCCACCCAAACCTCACGACCCCATATTTCCCAACCACCACCCTCCTCCACAGTGCTTCCTTCTCCCTTTCCTGCCCAAACCTCCACAGCCATTTTCCTAATAAAGTCTTTTTAAATGTCCTAACTCTTCATATCCCCAAACCTCCCCTTTCCTTAGGTCTACACACTTTATCCCAGCAAAAGAGATGGAACTTCTTCGCTTCCCCAGCCCCTTCCCACAAGAAATCCTTTTGAATCTTCTCTAACATGTTTGCCACTTCCATCGGAACCTTCAATAGAGACAAGTAATATGTGCGTAGGATTGATAGCACACTCCTAATAAGGGTAATCCCAACTCAAAACGGGGTAGTGGAGATTTCTCACCACAGCTTATTGCTCTAAAATCTGAAGCTTATTGCACAAATTCCAGGATGCAGACATTAATAACATTCACTTACTAATGGCTAGGTGAATCATGAATGGCAAATTTATTCTAAAAGTTCTACTGATCCTTTCATTGCATAATCCCCACATGACAGTATGCTTTACCCCTTTTGAGAAAACCTTTTCACCTGCACCTAATCCAAAGGGCTTTCCTTGATTGAGGAGATCAAGGATGAAGTTTGGAGGACCCCAGTTCAAATCTAGCTTATTGTTAACACAGTTCCATAACATGCTCAGCAAAAGCACATTGCAGAAAAAGGTGGTACGTGGATTCCTCATTTTGTAGACACAGTAGGCAAGCATGTGCAAATAAGCACTTGTTCTCATGCCACCTTCTTTGAAAGCTATAACACGTGTTAATCTTATCATTAGTTGCCTACTTGCCTCCCAGACAAAGATTCTTACCCTCAGAGAGCCAGTAGGGAAATAATCATTTCCAGTAGGGAGGGAGAGAGGAAGTATATGGAAGGCAGGAAGCTAAGTACCAAAAGAAACACCTGGACGAAAATGAGAGACTAGGATCACAGGTCCATACCCTGTAATCCAACTCAAAGAGAGAAATAAAATAAATAAATATATTATATATTTATATATATTAGGTGTTCTATGACAATCAATTTCGTCCTTAACAAGAATGCTATTGAACTCCAAGTTCCGCAAGGAGATGAATACGAGGCCACAGAAAATTCATCCATGGATAAGTTGTAAAGGTGAGGTTGACCACCGATTACAACACAATTTTTTTTATAAATAGGGCACTCCCTTTTAATTAACAGAAAAAATAACTGCAAAACACCTTGGTCAAATAAAGCATGATAACCTTACAGGGGTGTTATTATCTTCCACTATCTTTAGTTAGGAGTGCTCCTTTGATCAGAAACAGGGGGTGCTCCAACAACAGACTAAAAGAAACATGATTAAACAGTGGATCATGATTCATTGGGTACATCAAGATGGAAGTAGGATGTATTCCCATATCAATCATTGGTTTATTGCCATCTTGACAAATTCTCCCCTTGATATCGGTACAGAATTCCTCAATAATTGTCCAAGTTCCAGCAACTCTTGAGAATGAGGTGTATATGACAGCCTAATTTCATGTTAGTGGCACATAATTTATGATCTTTATATAAGCAAACATCTCAGATTTACTTACAATATATTTCTTGTTGTCATAGATCCGATACGCTGAGCATCTTCCATCTGTCTTAAAAAATATTAGCTGCACAATTCCAGGAGGGAAAAAGGTTGGTGTTGTGGGACGAACAGGCAGCGGGAAATCAACTCTAATACAGGCAATATTCCGTATTGTGGAACCCAGAGAGGGAAGTATTGAAATTGATGATATAAACATCTGCAAGATAGGCCTTCATGACCTGAGATCCAGACTTAGCATCATTCCGCAGGACCCAACAATGTTTGAGGGGACAGTAAGAGGAAACATGGACCCACTAGAGCAATATTCTGACAGTGAAATATGGGAGGTGGTTACTTCTGTGACTTCTGTCTAACAAGTTCTAGAATAAAAGATGCAAAATACAGCTCAATTCCATTATGTGGGTTTGGGGTTGGGGTGTATATGATTTCCATCATCATGTTGGCCCTGGCATGAGTTGCTAAGGATACGATTTACATGACTCTTTACAGACTTGTTAGGTAGCGGAGTTATTTATGGGTAAATGCATGTTAGTTTGCTCATTGCTTGTCAGGTTGAAAAGTTGAAATATGTGCTGCCACTTGACAAATCATCCTTGTTTTTTATCCATCACCTTATAGGACACATTTTAGCTTCTCTTCATGGAATACCTCAGGTAGGATGGAAGGTACAGAGAATCTTTGTTTCTCTACCTTCCTGTATGTGTTGCACATATCCAAATGGAACCCATTATTCATTTGTCCCATCAAGCATGTCCTTTGGGTCGAAAATTGACTCAGTTAGCTATCTACATTATAACTTTTTTTCTAGAAGCTTCATCTCATTGTTTGACTTTCAAAAAGAATTGAACAACTGAAGCTCAGGATCAACAATTGGGTTGAGCCTCAGAGAAAAAAAAAATCCATGGTCAAACTTGCTAATGCTAGTTCCAGGCCCCTTTGGATGTAAGCCACACATGCAATGAAAATGTGTTTCTTCCATCCTAAACCGTCAGACATTAGTATTGCTCTTACATATTCACTTCCTGTCATTATAAAATAACATTAAACTTACACTGGATAGAATCCAAAGCGCAAAAAGCTCTTATGATCTTCATTTAGAATTTCAACTGAAGAAGTTATCATATTTGATTATTTTCAGGCTATGGATAAATGTCAACTTGGTGACTTAGTGCGTGCAAGGGAAGAAAAGTTGGATTCAACAGGTGAGATTAATCAATATGAACTGAAACCCACAGTGAAGCGTTTTGGATTCTCATATTTGAATTGCAGGCATGGCAAATACAGTGGTTGAGAATGGAGAAAACTGGAGTCTGGGCCAGAGGCAACTATTCTGTCTTGGAAGAGCCTTATTAAAGAGAACCAGAATTCTTATTCTAGATGAAGCCACAGCCTCTGTTGATTCTGCAACTGATGGTGTAATACAGAAGATCATATGTCAGGAGTTCAAAAATTGTACTGTTGTTAGTTGTTACCATAGCTCACAGAATCCACACAGTTATAGACAGTGATCTAGTTCTGGTTCTCAGTGAAGGAAAAGTTCTTTTCTATTGTTTACTTCTAAATTTTAAAAAAGGAAAAGGAGAAGAAAAAGATAAAGATAAAGATAAAGGAGTTAAGCATGCAATTACTTTTTCTTACTGGTTTAGTACAAGGAACTAAAATTGTTGTGTTGTGATTTGTGAACAGGAAGGATTGTGGAGTACAACACCCCAGCTAAGCTACTGGAAAGAGAGGATTCATTCTTCTCAAAGCTTATTAAGGAATACTCTTTGAGATCACAAGACTTCAACAGATTAACAAACTTAAAGAATGCACGTTGCATTTTATAGTATCTGTGAAGCATAAAGCTTTTTATGTTATTCCAAAATCAAGATTACATGCTACAAAATAATTCAAGAGCTGCAACAATCCAGAACAAATGAAGAATAAATGATTCCTCAAACTGATTAGGGAACAGCACTGAGTGCCCTGGGATGGAGTAATATATCTATCTGTTTTATCCTCTTCCAGACAAAAAGAGAGCAATAGGTTATTGTGTTTTTTCTATTTCTGCTTGATCACTTATAATTCTGTCGCTTCATTTATCCAGAACATATCCATTGTTAGCAGTCTTTTAGATTATTTCTCACCATTCTGATCCATGGCCCCAAAGCAAATATTCTATAGAATTATCATCAATATACAATAAGTTCATAGAAATGAACAAAGCAACAAAGAAAAAGATCATCTTAAACCATCAAAAAATCATTATGATGCTCTACTAATTTATAAAAAACAACAATGAATGATGTGGCTGATCATTTTCAAAAATAATAATAATAATGTAACTGATCAATATAATAACAGGCACTCCTGTATGATCCTTATAGTTCATGATTAACAGAACTTATTAAGTATGGCTAATAGAGATATGAAGCTACTATCTCCTGTGTTCCATTTAGTTGAATGGAACAAGAACAGTTTAATAGAAACAGTTTAAATTCTAAAAATCTCTCATACAGATAGGAAATTCATAAAGATAATACCTTATCCCCGCATAAATCAGAAAGGGCCAAAATTTCATAACCATAAAAGGAAGATTCTATCAACGTAATCTATACTTTACCGCACTTGAGTTATACAATTGTAGTACAGACAGAACTCAAACATGAAAGGAAAGAAAATCCTAAGCAAACATGGAAAATCCAGCACAGATATTCTAAGCCATGGTTGAAGTCCCATTCTCTTCTTTATGGAAATGGAAATCCCATGCTCGAAATTTAAGCCTCCATACCAAACCCAAATCCTTTAAATAGTTTCTTTCCTACCCAAATCAATAAGCATCTTAAGCGATTATCAATACCTACAAATTTCAAAGAGAAGAAAATTGCCCTTGTAATATTTTGTAAAAACGACCCAATGTAAATCTATAATATAATAATGTCTACAACTCCAAAACCATTTACTAGAAGCCCTCCAAATTAATGGGTTCTGCTCTTCCTTGAATTTCCATTTTCTTTCTAAGAGGACATTATTTGATCATTTGACTTTTCTTCTAGTCCAAATTCAACTATTCAAGAGTAAGAAAAGAAAAAGAGAACAATAAATTCATAAATTTTCTGATATCTGGGTAGAAGCACAAGAAGATATCATCGAGCATAAAAAATAAAAAATAAAAATAAGGAATAGAGAGTACATCATTTGCAAGCTCTACTGTTTGTCAGCCTCTGTAGTGTAATGACTATCGACCCAGAACCAGAAGAAGCATGTCATGGCTTTCGTTCGAATGCTCTACCGAAACGCTTCAACCAATGTTTACGGTCTCAACCAATCATATTGCACCACGTACCAGCCCTCCCCACTTTCATCTTGGGGCCCCGGCCCCATTAGACTGGTTTTTCTGGTATGAGGTCTAGACTAGATTATGGCAAACCACAGTTTTGGATTTCAGAAAATCAAGATTCAAGAATGGGTGTTAGGGTTTACAGCTGCCCTAAAAGGTCCAGGCCTCAATGAAGTAATGAACGTCTCGCCTGGCCCGTCCCAGGCCGAAAGAATTAGTTCGGGCCAGGTTCGGGCTAAGCATCTTCTGAGTTTGGGCCCATGCTAGCCCAAGATTCAAGTTTAAAAAATGGGCTTTGAGACAGAATGGCCTCAGCCCGTTAAGGCCCAATGAGATTCCCATTACACTTTGCGTATGAATCCAAAATGGGAAAAATGATGCGGCAAAGATATGATCAGGGGCGGGAAGTATGGATAGGGGGGCCAACCATTGAAGTGGAGAATGGAGAAGAGGAAAATTTAAGCTGCTGTGGAGATTTTCTGAACCATAAAGGGGCCATGGCTCCCTTGGGTCCCTCCTGGCTCCACCCTTGGATATGATACCGGAAGCCAATGGAACCCAACATTGAAAAGTTAAGAGCTCATATCTCCTACCGACAACGACCCTATCACAAGAATCCTACCCATTGGTATAGGTGTAAAACGGCCGTGTTAGGCTGGCCCGCAAACCGAGTCGGGTGTCCCTTTCTCCCTTGGGAAACTTTGGGGGGTCAACCCGACATGGCCCACGGCCCAAGTCCACATGGGCCCATACTGTGTTGTGGGCCAAGCTGGTTCACAGGCCAAGTGGGGTCGTCGCAAACCAGGCTAAGCCATGTCTTTTAAAAATTAAAAAAAAATAATGAAAAAATTAACATAAATTAAAAAATATCTTAAAATTTTATTTTATATGAATTTTGATATATACAATTGTTTATATATGCAATAATAAAATTGAAATAAAATTATTTATATATATGGGTCGTGTTGGGCCGGGTCGAGCCATGCTAACATGCGGGCTACGAGTGACACGACCTGCTTAGTCATGCCATGTTGTTCTGGCCCATGAACTTGAAACCCCATGCCCAACATGGCCCATACGATCATGGCATGCCTGCTGCAGTCCGGCATGCCTGCTGCAGTCCGGCATGTGGCTCAAAATCATGCTATGCCACAGGCAGTACAGCTCAATTTACACATCTACCCACTAGATACTAAGCACAGTTCAATTTACACATCTACCCACTAGATACTACAGTTGTAATTACATGTTACCATTCATGGAGAGATGTTCCCAATGTACAGCTATAATGTTTTGTGGGTAGGAGATCTAGATTCAAAAGTTAAACAATTCCTTATGTTCAGATGGATCATGGATTAGCCCCTTATTTTCTGAGATCAGTGAGTACCCGGGCAACCTGTATTTGTCTATTTAGTTTTATTTTCATTATTGAATTTCTACTACCAATAAAGTAGGGGTGTCCATGAAAAACCGAAAAACCAAATCGAATCGAGAAAACCAAATCACAAAATGCAGTTAACCAAACTGATCGGTTCGGGATTTTTGAAAAACCGAAGGACTAGTTTGGTTTTTGGTTAACCGAATCGACTGGTATATATATTTTTATGTATATTTTATATATATTTTTAATATATGTCACATATTTTCTATGTATTATATATATATATATATATTCATTATATATAAAAATATATATTTATATTATATTTATAATGATCTATTTATAAATATATTATATATTTTTCAAATATTTATAATATATTATATATCATTTATTATTTATAATATAATGTTATACATATATTTGTATAATATATATTATAAATATAAAAAACCGAAAACCGAAGAACTAAACTGATCAAAAACCAAAACCGATGGACCGGTTAATCGGTGATATCGATTCAGTTTCGATTTAAAGAATTGAAAAAACCGATACCACCAATTTGATTTACAAAAAATGCAATGATTCAATTAACCGAACCGTGAACACCCTTGCAATAAAGTGATGGATCTTTGTTTGAAACTCATGTAGGGTTTGTCAACTTGTGGGGTTTAGGTAAAATCATTCGCAGACTGATTATTAATTGGGACATAGACCTAGAATTACGTTTTGGTTAATAGTCGGGTTTATCAGATCCATACCTAATTATACTGAAAATTATATTTATTTATTTAAAAATGGATTTTTATAAAAAATAATAAAATTTGATGAATTGACAAAATCAAATATGTTTTCAGAAGAATTGCAAAACGAGTGAAAATGACAAAAATTTTAACTTTATTTTTGGGCCAAATTGCCATTTCTTAAAATTCCACAACGCCACAGTTCATGGTCTTCCTCCTTCAAACGCCACTGTTCATTCAAATGGATCCTTTGCTCAACACAGGAACAGTGAGAATTCGCAGACCCACGAGAGAGTATTTAGCACCCCGTGGGTCCCCTTCTCCACCACCTTCCCTTTTTCCAGCACTGCGATCAGATCATCAGATCACAGTTTTGTAGGGTGCTCAATCGGGGGCCACTACCTCGCTCGTCCGCCCCACCAACACTTGCTTTCCCCTTGCTGATTCAATTTCCACCGAAGAAAAACATTGAAGTTGATGAAAACCAGGGGGAGGGTTGCCGTTGCCACTCCCCTGTTCTTGTGGAAGAAGACGTGAACAGTGGCCCAGTAGCGGGAAAGAAGAAGGGATCTGATCGAGGGAGGGCTCAATGGAGGAAAACTATTCTCTGCCGCCGCTGTGTCGAATGGAGAAGATGAACCGTGTCTTCGGCGATTGGGTGGAGAGATAGAATGATTAGGATAGAGAGAAAGAGAGAGAGATTGGAGAGGAGAAGGGTGTGCCGCTGTTCCACCGTCTCTGTTGAGAGGAAGCAGATTATGAATAGTCGATTTCTTCCGATTTCGGTTCTGGCTCAATGGAAAAAGAGGGGTAACGGTGGGATGGAGAAAATAGAGGGATTATGAGAGATAATGGAAGAAAAATGAAGAAGGGGAAGAGGTTTTTGTACTGTATAATCAAAATCCATAAGTGAATAGCCGATTTCATCGGTTTCGAAAGGTAGAAGAAGGTGAATAGTGTTCGGACTATTCTTGGGCAATTTTGTCCTAGAAAATTAATTTTTTTTTCGTTCACTGTTTGTTATTATTTTGAATACGACTGATTTTGTCAAATTTCCGCATCATAAATTTTCCCAAACTAAATAATAACTTAAAATTTAAGTTTTGATAAAAAAATATTAAATTATTTATATGTTAATAAATTAAATATTTTAAATTAATATTATTTTATTTATTATTTATCAAATTCACCATGATAAAAATTATAAAAAAATTAAGAAAATATTATATATTTGCTAAAATAATCGATTTCAAGTCTAAACCGGTTCAAGACATACAATGGGTAGGGTCAGTTCGGGTCCATTGAATAGACCGACCCTTTTGACAGCACTAGATAATAGTAATACTAGTACCCTTCATATTAAATCTCCATAGCTACTCCAAAAGGGGAATTGGTCTTGGAAGTTTTAGATTAGAATTAGGAATAGCAATGGGTAGGGTGTCTGAACCCACCTATATATCCCTGATTTCAGGTTCGTCTAACTTTTTCTCTCAATTTCTTAAATCCGTTAAACCCGTCCCACATGTTAAATCCTTTGATCAAAGGTTTTCTGCTAAAAAAATTGTTTAATGCTTATAATGTGACTTGAACCCAAATAAATTAATAATAACACCAAATCACTTAATACTACTTAAATTAGCATTTTATAACCTTTGATCAATATATATATATATATATATGATTAATAATTCCAACTAAAATTAAAAGAAATAACATTTAAAATTAGCATTTTATAACTAAATGAAATAAACAATCTATCAAATCCAAATTTATATAAAATGATGATTTTAATTCCAAGAAATTTATACAAATAAAATATAAATAATAGAATACCTTGCTACTTAAAATTTATAAATTTGTACATGATATATAATATAATAAGTTCATATTTATGCATCCTGGGTATCGGATACTAGATACCCTAAAGTCAAAAACCCAAACCCATTCCAAACCCTATAAGATTTTGATAAATGGGTCCTATTAGGGTTATACCCAAAAATTTCCACAAATTGCCATCACTAATTAGAATGAGTGAAAGCCCCTTTCCACCCCACCCAAAAAGAAAAAAAAAGAGGCACAAAAAGACAATACCCAGTAAGAGCTGAACTTGCTTTCCTCTTTACAAATTTGCACTACAATTCAGAATTCAGATCATGAGGGGTTTGTACTGGCAAAATGAAATCTTGGCTCAAACCAAAACTGTCAACACACAGACACAGAGAGATTCTTTGGAGCTAGAGTGAGAATACTAAGTGCACTCACTTAGTCAATTGGCTTTGGTTGATAGATGAGTAGGACCACAAAAGGACATAGCATTGAAGAACAAGAGGACGGAACATGGAATAGCACGTCAGCTAGCACTAGAGCTAGAAAAGTTGAGAGAGCATAATGGAGTTCTCAGTGTTGCACATACAACTGGGCACGTTCTCTAGTACAAGTAGCAATCAGCCCAACAAGCAAAGCAACAGAAATGTCTCGATTCGACATGACCTTCACACCAAAGCAGCAGAAATCACAGTCAATCTCGAAATGCTAATCTGAGTAATCTCAATCTCATTTTGGTAAAGTCATGGTGGGCTCTTCTGGGTCTCGCATGCTTAATAATGTAGGCATGACAGAGACCCAAAGTGGCTTTGCAAATTTATCTGATGGAAGAATGATTGTCGTCCATGAATTAT